TAGGAGCTCATCTAAGTACTTGATTTGGAATATTTATCTTTTGTTCTTCTTCTCACTTATATATTTTTTAACTTGTTTTAATTTATCCATCTCTATGTTTTATCCAAATCTAATTTCTTCTCTTTATTTTTATCTAATCATCTAATATTTTTATTTAAATTTGTCTATTCTGTATCTAGAGTAGCTAAAATAATTTTATTTACAACTTCTCTCATTGAACTGTCTATTGTAATATCTTTCTACCTAGCTAGTACTTGTGATTATACATGCTGACAAAATTATTTTAGATTTCAGGGCACAAAATTAAAATTTGAAGATGAAATTGTTTTTGATCTATTTTACTTAAAAGATAAAATTTTTTGATACTTTTTTTGAAGAGACAAAATTATAAGAAATATAACTACCTAAATTAGATTTGCTTTTGCATATAAAAAATTCCAAATTACTCTAATAGAGACAAAATAAGGTTTTTTAAAAACCTTTTCAGTGGTATGTATACTTGTGATTTCTTGTTTATCTTTTGTTTTTTGCTTCTTTTTTTGCTAGTTTATCTGTAATACACTTTAAGATTTTTATTTTTCATATTTTCTGATCTGCCACAAGAGACTTGCATTTTTGAACTTTACTACTTCTCTTTCTTTTTTTATACTCTTTTTGTGTTTGAGTGCTTAAATAGAAGCAAGACTGTTTGTATGTACTGTGATTTTTAACTTTTCTGGTACTGCTAATAATGCTGTTCAAATAGCACCTAACTCTGCTTTTGTTAAAGATGCCCAATCTTTTAGTATACAGCTAAATCTAGCTTTTTTCTTTTTGTTCTTCTTTTTGTTCTTTACTATTGCTATTTAATCTGCACCTATTTGTGTTTTTTGAGATGCTTCTTCTTTTTCATATAGTGATCTATCTATGTAAAAGTCAATTTTCTTTATATTTGGTCAATTTCTATTAACTTCTTTTGTCTCTCATCTTTTTCTATTTGATTTTCTATTAGTTCTTTAGTTAAAGCTCTTATCATAATTTTGTTTTGTGCTTCTTGTTTAGTTTTTTCTTTTATTGCTTTGGTTTTTTTTTTCTCTTTTAGCTTAGCATTTTTGGATTGAGTTTGATCTTGTATTCTCTATAGTTTGCTACCTCTACTCAATCTAACTTTTTTTAATACTCTTTTATTGCTTTAGAATCTTCTTGTAAATAAGCATAAAATAGATTTTTCTTGTTTTTATTTCTGTAGCAGTCTTTGCATAGTTGGATTTTAAATTTGCTACTCTTATCATTTTTAGTTCTTATTCAGTATTCTATATTCAGCATTTTCTTTTTTTTGCTATAGTTTTTAAGTATTTTTCTGACTTCAAAAGCACCTTTTCTTCTTCAAGTAAAATCTATTCCTTGAGTCTTCTATCTATCTTGATTTCAGTTAAAGGTGCTTTTAGGCTTATATTATTTTTTCATTCCTTCTAATATTTCTTTTTAATCTCTCTTGTTCTTGTATCTTCAATTAATTCTTCTTCTAGCTTTTAAAACTATTTTGCTTTCTTACTCTTTGTTTTTGTTTCTCTGCATATTTTTATTTGTTTCCATATTATTATTCTTCTGCCACTATATCAAGCAGCTATTCTAATATAAAAATATTTATAGTTTTTGTACTACAAGAATTTTTGTTTATTTTTCTCTATCAGGATGTCTGCAATCTCAGTTCTATTTGTTGTTAGCTTGAGACTTATCTCTAATTTTTCTAATTAATAGAATATTTCTAATTTTTTGGCTTTTTTAAAGATCTGTACATTTAAATTATTTTGTAGTTTAGATTTATTTAGATCTTTTCTGTCTAGTTCTAAAACATATCTGCAACTTCTTAGTTTGGTTTGAGCCTTTTTCAGCTATAGCCATATAGCTTCTCCTATTCTTTGTCTATTGTTTAGACATATTAATAGCTCTGTAAAATAATATGCAATCTGTTGCTACCAAATTATTTATATTTTTACTATCATTTGGTGTATTAGTAGTGAATTGGTGTGGTGATTGGTATCTCTGCTTCATTTTTTAAAATTTTTATCATTGGACTTTGTAGCTGATCACATATATTTTTTGTAGAATTTTAGATAAGCTCTAAATTCTATCTTTGATAGCAAGACTATGTTGTTAATATAGACTATATGTATTAAAGAAGCTTTTTTTGCTAATATGTTTTGTGACTATGTATACTTCATTCTTAATAATTCTTTCTATTTGCTTGTTTCTGTTTTTAGTTATTAGCCATATTTCTAAGAATCTTGTTAGATCTTTTTCTTTTTTTTCTATTACCAATTCTTTGTTTGGGCTAAAGTTAATTTTTATGTTATCTTTTTAAGCTTTTTTTCTAGTTTTATGACTAGCAATTTAGATTTTTTGAGATTAATTATATTTTGTAAAATTCTTTAGTAATTTTAATTGTCTTTTTAAGATCTTTCTTAGAGCTTGCTATATATATTATATTATCTGCATATACTATTACTTCTATTTTGAAGCTTTGATGTTATATCAAGTTATCTATTATGTCTTTCAGCTATTCAACTATTATTTGATACTTTGTATTCTTTTTTTCTTGAATTGCTACTAGTAATAGGTCTTAGAATATTTTCTATATGAGAGATAAGATGACTTTTCTCTAGTCTATGCTATCTTTTGCTAAAAACTTCTCTGTAGTCTCTATGCTTATTATTATCTCTATCTCTTTTTTGTAGAGCTACAAGATGAAGTTGTTTGTAGCTTGTAGTAACTTAATTTTTCTAATACTATCACTAGCATTTTTATACTGAGTTAAAAATCTTTTTTATATTTTAGAAAAGCAATCAGATTTTTTCTTTGTGTTCTCTTGTATCCTTTAGCAAACAGTTAATTAGATATATTGTTACTAATATTTTTTCTCCAAGTATTTCTTCTTTTGAGTAGTTCTTTTTCCTGTAGTATTTGGCTTAGCCTGTTGTTTAATACCTGACTACTGTTTTATAAAAGGTCTCTAGTAGTAGGATCAGTCTCATATTGTTAAAATTATAGCACTAATCTTCTCTCTTGGGTATTGGGTAATTTTGATATAATTATTTTTTTATTTCTTTATTATTTTTTTGTAAAGTTATTTTTTTTTTTTGCTTTTATTAATCTGTAAGTTTTTTCTTTTATTTCTTTTATTATTTTGTTATTTTGTTATTATATTATCAACTAATTTTTGAATTGCTGCACAAATATTTTTAAAGCTACTATATTTTGTTGTATTGCTTTTGTTGCTTTATTTTATACTTCTCAAGTTTTTATTATATTAAGATTCTAGTTTACTTTTATATAATTAATAAATTGTCTTCTTTTGTTTTGTTTTATCTATTGTAGTTTTTTCTTGTTTATACTCTTTATTGTTTCTTGTTATTTCTTTATATAAAATATCTAATACAGAGTCTATTTTTTCTTAAATAACTTTCTTGTATACTATATTATTTTTTAAATATCTCATCTATAAAGTTAATTTTTTTATATATCTATAAGATATCAGATTTATCAAATAATATAAATTAATTTGATTGACCCAGATTGGGCTTTTTATAATAGAGTATATATAATATAATCTAACTAATTATATTTAGTTATAATCATATAATTAGTATATTATTAGTATTTTAAATCTAATAACATTACAAAACTAATATAAAAGTTGTCTATTATGCATATTAGATTTGAGAAGTTATACTGTATCTAAATAAAACATCTTAAGTAAAAACAAATACTATAAATTTGAGTAGTCTGTTATAAATATATTAATTAATAATTTTTATTTTTAACTAAAATATTAATAGTAAGAAATTTAATTAACTTTTTACAAAGAAAAGAATTATATTTAAACTTCATATCCTAAGATAACAAGAAAAGAAACTCAGACTAGTTTATCTATAGCCTAAACCAAATTTTTAACTAAAATTAAAAGGTACTATAATTATAAATTTTTATAAGTTTAATTAATTATATTGACCATATTAATTAATAAATAATATAATTAGATCTTTCTAAATACAATTTTTTAAATACCACACCTTTTAAATACCACCTTTAACTCTGGCCCAAATATATAACAGATTCTATAAATGCAATTTTTTTTATTATTCTCTAAATACAAGCTGTCAAAAACCTGTCTCTATAACTTGTATTTATAGAGGTTTGACTGTATAAATATCTATAAAAAACAGCTTATATTAACTACATTGATCAGATAATATAAAAGTTATTTATATTTGTCTGCTAAATTACTTATACAATATAATCTAAACGTTTAAAAAACATTGCACTAAAATTTTTTATTATTTAGTAAAAATACAATAATATACAATAATATACTGTAATATACCAAATATAATAACGAAATTATCTCAAATAAGATTCAGAAATAGTGTATTGCCAACAACAAACCATAAGTTCTTATACATTTAATCATTTAATTTTAATTTTATAGGATCTAATTTCAATTTTATTATTTAGTATTAAATAAGGTTATTAGAGATGAATTCTAATAATAGTTTATCAAGTGTGAAAAACTATTATAAGACTTAACGTGGCATTGCTCACGCATAAATAGTGATGCCACGGGGTAATAATGATTGGAATTTCTTAATAAAATTATAATTTTAAGATAATAAATTCCAAATCCACTTAGATTCTATTCCTACTTACAACATAAATAACTTGCAGTATTCGGAAAATATATAACAAGATTTTCAAATTATATGGGTGTTGCATATTAAAAAAGCCCATTTTTACAAGTTTTCCATTTTTTTTTATTTGATTTTTGAATAAATATATACTGTATTTAACAAAAAAAAAGTTTGCTAATACTAATTATATAATAAAAAGTTTACAAAACGAACTTGAAGTAGAAACCTTTATATAGGTTTCTTTTGTGTATAATTATTTAATTAACTCAAAATTATTAATATATAAAAATAGGTGTTTTAATACATAACACCACATATATCCAGCTCTTCTAGTTACCAATTGTATTTTAATCCGCCTCTATCATCTGATTGTCTTCTGTTATGCATAATCTTTACTGTGCCAAGCAAACAAGATAACATCATGCCTGTTTTCAACCACATATACTCGCATATCATCCATAGAAAGGGGGTCATCTCGCCGTCGGGGTCACATCCTATTGCAAGAGATACTGATAATTCACACATTTTACGTTCGATCACATTGATAGTTTGGGGAGATATTTCAATATCGCTAGCGTAACTACCAGCAATATCTATGGTTATAAGTTTGGCAATTGCTATAGCATCATATCCTAATGACAAAGCAGCAACCCTAAGGTTTTCTGCGGCTTCCAATGCACTGATACTATCTTTCTTAGTAATATTATTATCATCTTGCAATACATCAAGCAATGTACTTTTCAGTTCCAAATACTTATGCTGATAGTTAGTTGCACCATTATAGATTGATGGAATAATTCGATGACGTCCATTAGCTATTTGCCAGAAGTGAGTAGCTAGGAATGTCAACCCACAAGCATCGTATTTGTATCTTTCGATGATATATTGTAGCCCATTTGCCATACGAATATATCCTTTTTTTACAGAATCCATGTCTATCTTACCACCCGCAATAGTTAAAAATGTATTGCTTGATTCCTTGACACTTACATCATATCCAAAATCAACCATGTCATGTAACACTGTAGCAAATCCGATGACATCCATCTCATCAACTGTCAACATAGTATATGGCACTGCCTTAAGCAAAGCAGCATCAACAACTCTGTAATGTAACATTGCTCTCAAATCCTTCCATACAGCCATTTTTTTATTTACCTGAGAGTAGCGTCTGCTTACTTCTTCTACTCTACATTTGGCTTTAATCATCTCATAACTCATGACATTTCCCAATGAACTTGTTGCCTGTAATGGTGTCATGTATTTGAATAGGATTGCTATCTTGTTTTTGGCACCAGAAAACCATTCGTTGATATTAAATTCTCTGCTTTCGACCGCATAGTCGTATAAAAGCAAAATATCTACAGGTCCCATTAGTCTACCTAATTCATTGCCATATAATATATTATTGCCAACTATACTGCTGGCAATGACCATCGGGCTTTTTGATATACTCTTTAGACTGTCAGGTGGAAACATAGCATTCCAAGCTTTTGAAGTCATCATAGGGACACCATCCCCTTTACCTATTAATGTTGTCCTGAGCTTTTATACTTGATCTGGTATAATGATATCTTTCATCTCAAAAAGTTTATCCTTAATCTCGATACCGCACGTTTCTAACACAAGTGAGATGCCAATCGATGTAGCCCATTTAGCTTGTTCTGCCATCTGAAGAGCTATGCTGGATTGCGGATGATAATACTGTATGCCCTGAGTAATTGAGGCATTTACTGCAGCATCATATATAGCTTTCCTAATATGATCCTCTTCCTGAGGCTTGATAATTACTTGACTTTCTATATCTTCTAATCCTAATGTTTTTTGAGATATGATATAGCAAATACCATCGCTTCTAATGCATTTAGGCCACATACAGACATTCTCAATATTCCAATAGATCTTTAATGTTATATCGAAATCATGATTAGTATTAAATGCTTCATTAACATTAATACCAATCGTAAGGCATTTTCTAGTCTCAGGAGGTTGGCTTTTAACGAAGTCAATGTAATCCTGAATAAGTTCACACATTTTAGAGAACATAATTGCATCATATCTATGTACCGCTTTACCAAATAAGCTTATTCGGATCAGCCTATTACGTTCTGTATTACTTCCTACTGTAATGTCCATGGTGTCATGATGCAATCCATTAGGATATTTACAAGGTTTAATATCTGGGACATCGTAGATGTCAACCTGTACAGACACAGCATTTTCCTTGTGCCAGAATACTATAGATGTTACATCTTCCATAGGATGTGCCGATGTTCTTATATAAGGTACAGCATCAGTAAAATCAACCTCGTCTCCGTTAGTGTTAATAATACAGTGTTGATGTGACAAGACACCCTGAAAATCACTGTTCATATCATGACCAGGTTGTTCGGTAAAGTTCGCTTGCTGTCCCACCAACGTATCATTATCACCATCAATATCGGCATCTGAGGAGATTCGTTTCAGTACTGTATCTACTTTACCTCCAACAAGGAAGGATTTATCGACCTTACAATAAGAACTATATTTCGGATTCATTTGACCAAGCTTTTATCACTAGATGATTTTTTTTTTTTTCAGTTTTGGAATTCTAACAGTACTTCATCAAACTTCAATCTTTTATAAAGAAAAAACCGTAAACTGCTGTATACAAGATTCCCTTTAATAGTAGACCTTCAATGTACCAAATCAGCCGACATGCTAGACCTGGGTAGACTATCTATGTACAAAATCGGCCGATATGCTATGCCTGTGTGCGAATCATGAAATCAATAATAACATAGACTGCCTGGGGCC